GCATAATCTTTTCATTTTATTATTCGTTTTAACCCATTTAACTTAGCCTCAATATACGCTCGTATAATGTAAACCTAATTGCTCGTAGAAGCACATGACTATTGCTTTGGTATACATAATTGAGTGGTGCTTTCTCATGGATCATATTTTTCTATTTTATTCGGCAGCCAACCTCGAGGTCTGTCACCTCGCCTGAGGCCTCGCTCTGCTTGCAGTCAACAGACTAAAACTATCCTTGAACCTGGCAGTACGACAGCCGCTGACGCCTCCTTAGGAGGGGAGGAATCCAACCTCGGAACAGAATGTAAAACTTCTACTCTGACAACTATGAATTTCACCGGTAATGCTTCTTCTGCCATTCCCCAGCCTCACTTGGCAGCTTCATTGGCACCAACTTCTACCGGAAACCATTCTAGCCATGTTTCAACAAGTTGGCACGCTACTCCTAGCCTAGGATCTATAAGTCGTTGGGCAGAGCGACTTTCCTCAGTAGCTAGGCGTACCACCACCACGGTCGTTGTCACTACTGCTGCCCCAGCATCCTCCATCTCTGCCTCAATTCCTCCTAGCCTTACAACTTCTCCTTCATCTGCTGATAATGTTGTTCATACAGTTGAAAGTGAGATCACGAGGTTGCCTGCGACCTCTGATTCCCGAAAGGCCCTTGGCTCTGTCGATATTTCCTTGCGTGGATGCACTTCGCCTCATCTTGGTCAGCAGCGGAAAGCGACCAAACTTGGTCCTTTTCATCAGGCAGATGCCAACCAAGAGGATTCGTCGGGGGAGATCCTTTCTTCCTCAAAAATTACTGATACTGCTAACGTAGCCCAGTGTCTGGATATAGACGGTGATAATTTTTAAAAAATTTCATTTTAAATCCTCCGTCCTTAATGAGATAAGAAAACAAAGCTCATTATAACTGAGAAGGTACTGATACTTTCCAGGGCTATTATGTCAAAAAACTATATTTTTCAAAGAAAAATAAAAAAAACATTCTCAACTATTGTATTCATCAAGATTAGACCAAATATAACTTATTGCTCGGTTAGTTGGCCATTTATA